TGTGTGACAGACGAAGATCGTGAATATGACGGACTTCCCGAAGTGTACATTCGAAAGAGGTGGCGAGTGAGTGAACGAATGAAACCTCAGTGCTGGAAAGGGATCGTCAAGGAAATACAGATATTACTACTTTCAGCAAAACGAGAAACACGGTAGATTAAAAATAATGTGCATACAGCGGAATGTAGAATGAATTGGATTGGATTGAAAAGTGATATTTGTAGCTAATTTTTAATACTAATTTAATTTTGATATCACCTTATCAATTTTAAGTCATATGTATGTCAACGTTCGAGTAGTTTTCCCTATCATCATTTAAGGCTGGCCGAACATGGCTCGAATAACAGTGTCGTTCAAATTGGTATTGCGTGACTTGTTTGAAATCACGTCGCGTATTTGTATTTGGCATCGTTTTCTCACACTTCAGAGAATGCATTACTCATTCACATTAGAATTGCTGCTGTTGTTTTATAATCATCGTTTTGAAAAGTCAGAGCCTAGAGAGCATAGTAGCTAATTTTTATGATGCTTAACCGTTTGACTGCAGACAATTGCTAAAATATCGGTATTTACCTATCTTGATTCATTTATCGTTAGAATTTACTTGAGCATATGATGTTTATATTTAATACAAAAGTGTAAATAAATATATTTATGTCCCTTAACAATTTTAGGCAATTTTGGGGAATGCAATAAGTGATAATATGAGCAGTAATAACGCTTGCGCAACACACTATAAAATCACTCATCACCCTTGTATCATTTTCAATTTCTGAAATATAGCGCTATGTGTGCGCTACCCTCAGAGTAGGAATCCGTACCTGCTGACATGAACTGAAACTAATTTTTTTTAGTTCAGACTGTTATCTGTGTTTTTAATCTCATTGCTGCTTACGCCTCAACCTAAATCACAGTCACGGCGTAGACTTAAACATGCAATTAACAATGTTGAGGATTAAATGCAGAACAGGCATTGTAGTACTTGAGTAAACCAGCGGTATTACATGCTTGGAAGAATTGGAAATCAGTATCAGGTCATATTTGTAGACAGATGTAACCTGCGTAGAGCAGTTATTTGATTCTTTGTAGTTGCAGTGCCTCCTGCCTCCAGTCGAACGCACATTGGTACACGATCATTTGTACAGCGCGAAATCGTGATTGTTAACAAGGAGTTTGTGGATGCCTTGCTCCATGAAAATGATCACATTTCCAATTGCGTTTGATAATGCGATCAGTCAGTATGCGTCATAAATTTTATCAATCCTTCGTAAAGTTCAACAATTCATTTTAATTTAATTAATTAAATCGCGGCAGAAGTTATGACAAAATCTTATTCAAACAATGCAATGTCAAATTTAGGTATACATCCGAAACTATGCGTATAAAAACGCGCAGCATTCAGATTTATGGAATTCGATAAATGAGGTATTTTGACATCGCAACTTGGCCTGATCCTAAACACTATTAACCAATATGTGTTTCTGCAGATAATTGCGGAAAGGAAAGAACCTACTGACTGGGATAATCGGCTTCTGAATGTGTCAGTCATGATGAATCCTTGGATTTTGCAACCAGGTTTTCCCTTGGTTACCGTGAACAGAAATTACGGGGAAAAGACGGCCGTTATATCACAGCGAAGGTTCCAGATGCTGACGAAAGTGACGCCTGAAACAGAGTACATCCGAGCAAATAGCGTTTCCAGCACTAAACGTGACTTTTAGTCTTAAATGGTTCGTTCCGATCTGGTACCGAAGTCACACAGATTCTGAAGTCAAGTTTGTGTGGCTAAACCGAAA